TGTGGAGTGTGGGGCTGGGAGCCGCGGGCCATGGATACCCGCACAGCCGGGTTCTTCTGGAAGCTCCAGCTTTCTTGCACGTGAGAGGGGAATCACTGAGAGGACAGGATCAGGCAGGCTTTGGGTAACTTCATGGAGGGCAGATTCTAGTGAGAAGAAGTAGGGAGAGGGCCTGGATGAGCAGTGGGAGTGAAGGGAGGGCCGGCTCAGACACATGGAGCTCTGCCTGCCCCATTGTGACCTCACGGTGCAGGAGGCACCTTGGCTTTGGAGAGAAAGGTGCAGCCAGTTGTGGTTACACTGAGTTGGGAGGTTTGCAGACCCTCTTGCAGGTAGAACCTGAAGCATACAGGAGTAGATGTCTTCAGGATGAGCACAGCAGCTGATTGGGGAGACCATCACCTTCCTTGTGTGACCACTGGCCCGTGGCAGGAATTGGGAGGACATGGGGGTGGGACAGTGGCCCCCTGGGAGCTGGCTCTTACCCTGAGTCAGTCATGAGAGCTCTCAGTGCAGGACAGGCATTCGCATCACCCCTCTGGGCTGCACTGCTACTCTGCTGGCATCTATGCATACACTCACAGTGACACTTTGACGTGACATTGACTCACTGGAAAACAGCGCTGAGCCCTTGTCCAATGTTTACTTTACTTTAAAAACATTATCTAAACATGGAGAGCTCAGCTAAGCAGAGTTCAGCATTCCTCATTATTCTTGAGAAAGGCCACAGTGATCTTTGGCGGTTTTGACAGTTGAAGCTGAGAGCCCCTAAGCCATCGTCCCCACACTGTCCCATGTCCCAGCGTGGGTGACAGTCAGGGGAGATGTCTGCAGCCAGTGCCCCTCACCTCTGCTGGGCCAGAATGCTCCCTCCATCCCTATAGGACCCCTGTGTTCCAGGATGCAGGACCCCCACCCCCCTTTGGATTCCTGTGCTTGTGGATGCTGCCCCTCACTCACACTGGATCCCTGTGCTCCTAGATGCTCCTGGTCTTCAAGTGTTAATTCCAGGACTTGCAGAGTGTCACTAGATGCTGACTTCTATTTGACTGGAGTTTCAATTAAACAGCACCAGTGCTTGGAACCTTGGAGAGTTTAAAGACAGAAGGTCCTCATCATGAGATTTAGTGACCATGGGCCACAGGCTGTTCTTGGGTTACCAGACAGCCCCAGACCGGCCACCTGTGTCCACTGTCCCTTCAGCACAGACCATGTCAATCCCTGCATAAAACTGTCCAGAGCCCCTTGTTGCACTTGGGGTGGGGCCAGCTGTTTGCTGGGGACCTGGCCCTCTCTGCTCTCCACCCTTACCTGTTCCTCCCTCCCCTGTGCTCCTGGCTCTGGCCACACTGGCTCCATTTCCTCCCCAGAGTGCCATGACCTGTTCAGGCCCCCGCCTCTGTTGCTCCCTCCTCTGGAATGTTCTGTTCTCTGCGGTTCCCCTCTGGGTGGCTCCTTCCCAGCTACCCTGCTCGAAGCCGCCATATTGTGGAGGCTGGCCCTAACCCCTCCATCCACCCTGATGTGGGTCCACGCTGTCCCCGCATCTCTCTCTGTACTTGCAGCCCTCTCTTTGCTACCCAGGAAGGTCAGGGACATGGTCTCGTGCACAGGGAGCACCTGTCGGGCTGGCACAGATGCTCATTCATTCCCATTTCACCTGGTGGTTGTGCATCAGGTGTGCCAGGACGACTGGCCTACCAAGACGGTGGAGCTGGCAAAGGCAGCTGCTGACCAGTGAGCAGCACTCTTCTCTTGTGGGTTGTGGCTGACTCCCATAGGGGTGATGGCTGAGTGGGTCCCCGGCCCTGCCCACCTCTGGGTACTGGAATCACAGGAGGAGCCCTGCCTGCATCGTAGCGGTTCTCGCTCAGCAGAAGCATCTTCTGCTCCTCAGCTGCGGACAGGCACTATCCTGACGTGCTGAACAGCTTCAGGCAAATCTCCACCCTCCCCCCCACACACACACCAAACACTTTAAAAATGTGCGCTTCACAAGGTTGGATGCTTACGGGTGTGATCTGACTTGGACATTCTGTGACGTAGTTTGCAAAGTTCAGTGCAGGGGCAGAGTTCGTGTGCATGCGTCCCGTGGGTACGGGGGAGGACACTGGCAGGTACAGCTCCGGAGCCGCGTGGGGCTGCCTTCTTCCCACCATTGCTCCTTCATGTGGCTGTATCTGGGGTGGGCTGGTGCACATCTTTGGTTTTGCTGCTGTGTCCATGCACATCTCTAGCACAGGAGACTGTCCTGATCCTGCTGCAGTGCATGTCCTCCGCACCCCCGCCCCTCCCTGGCTCTGGGGCTTCACCACCAGATGTGGCAGGCCAGGCATGCTCCTGCTTCATGGTGACACTCAGACCTGTGCCTCTGATCCAGGGTTTAGATTCTGAGCATTAGACCTAGTGCTAGGCACATCATTGCTTAACAGATATTTGTAGATAAATTTATGATTACTTACACCCTGGGAGCTGGATCTGTCCAGCATCCCATCTGTGACCTCGACAGCTGCTGCTAGGAATCTCCCTCCCATCTGTCTTTAGATCATGTTTCCATGGCTCTACATGGACAGGTTGAAAGTAATAGTGACTGAATGACATTCAGAAAAGTGCGTGCCTATGAGTGAATGTCCATACCACCGTCTCCTGCTTCTGAGCTGACAGTGCCTCTGAGAAATGGCATTTCTTACTCATTTCTTACTCTGAATCCCCAAAATCAGAGTTCTTTTCGATCCTCAGCTACAGTGAAGAGCCGAGCCTCAACCACCCTGAGCACTGCATCCAGTCCTCAGACCCCCTGCACCCCTGCAACCCGCAGTGACTCTGGGGCTATATGGGCGGTGGCACGTGCAGGGCGTGGATGGGCCACCAAGCCTCAGCTGTGCTCCTGGCTCCGGCGGAGCAGGCAGGACTGGCTGCCCTCGCAGGAGCCTCCTCTCTGCGTGGAAGCCAGAAGGGCCTGTTTGCACAGGGAGGGGAAGACCCTCCCTTTTACCTTCACTTAGTCAACTTTGGGGTCAGGAGAGGCATTTGGGAAGCTGCTGTCTCCACGTAGGAGCACACCCTCTCTAGGTTTGTGATCACATGTGGAATTTTCCTTTGCCACACAGGAGAGGCTTTTCTGAGGTATGTTTGACAAGCCACTAAGTTTTTCACAGAGTGCATCTGGTCAGTCTTACAACCCAAGAGGTGTCATGCAGAGAAAGATCCTGTGGTTGAGAGAAGCCAACCCACTTGTGAAGGGTCAAGCTCAGAGCCCAGAGCTGGTGCCTGCTGAAGTCACGTCCTTCCCTTGATCCCAGAGGGAGCTGGAGGGGTGTGAGTGGGCTTGCAGAGATCATAGCCCAGCAGGCAGGTGGGATGTTACCTCCGCAGGATGGGAGTCTCCTTTCTAGGCAAGCTCTTTCTCCTGCACACTGAGTGCTGTGAACTGCCCACACCTGAGTGCGAGCTCATTGCCCCAGAGGAAGCCAGTGTTGGGTTATGCAGTGATTCTCAGTGTCAGAGGCAGAGGCTGGAACAGCTTGCCCGCGGCAAGCCCACTTCCCGTCCTGCAGTCCTGTCTCAAAGTTCTGGCAGATGAGAGATCAGACTGGGCAGCCAGGCACAGCAGCGAGCCTAGGTATGAGGAGACCAGGGGAAAGTCAGTTCTGCAGGTAGTGGGCCATGTACCAACCATGTCCAAGGGTATCAGGGTCAACTGGAGTCACAGGTCATGGGCACAGGTCACATGACCCTGTGGGCTCTCAGGTCCTAGAGACTCTGCAGCTCACCAAGTGCTGTCCCTCCAGAATCTCCCCTTCCTTCTGCAGACATGCCCCCAGATGAAAGGTTTGGGGCATTTATTCCGTTGTTAACCATTGAGGTCACAAAATCACAAGTGGTACATTCCACAGGGTTAAGGAAAGTATGTGTGGCAAGGAAGGAAATTTGGCCACAAGAAGAGGAAGGGAAGTCAAAGAGGTCAGAAAAGGTGCTTCCTGTATGTAGACCCCCAAGTTCACTGCTGAGCAGTCAGAGGAGGGAAGGGAGGGAGGGAGGATTCCTGAAACAGGAGAGGGTGTCGGCCCAGAGCACCATGCTGGACTTAGTGGTACGGGAAGGTGAGTATTGTGTGGCCACGTGAGCAGGGCAGAAGAGAACCGTGGAATTCACATCTCACTGAGGTTGTGCCCAGTGTCCGGGTGGCCTCTTAGCGCACACGTGCAAAGTCCTCTAAACATGGGAACGGGCATCAGTTCTCAGATGTCCCAGGGCAGGCATGCTTGGTTTGGCCATCCAGGTCACAGTTGAGAACCACAGGGAAGGTACTCTCCAAGTGGCTTCCACTCTGACGCCCTTGCAGATGCAGGGCAATGCTTAACACAAGCAGAGTTTACTGCTGGGCTGTAAAGAGAATCTGGTGTTTGAGATGAGAGCTTGTGTGATATCACCTCTTCCAGACTTCAGGATGATCTCGGGCCTGCATGTGAGGTCTGGGCTCATCCCCCAGGGTTGCTGCAGAGGCTTCCACCACTGGGTTTACACTTATGAGTCTTCCAAGAGCTTTAGGTGGGATCCATTTGGGTAGACTTCAGATATGTGGATAGCGCTAAATGCTCTGCGTTCCATTTGCTTTAACTGAGTTAACAAGAGAGGTTTAGCTCCTGTGGAAGCCAGCCTCCAGTGTAGAACAAAGAGTATTTACATGATACAATCTGTCACATTCAGCTTTCCAAAATGGATTAAAAGAAACCTAAGCCGCCTTTTTGGGAATGATAGCATCGTTTCTGCTCTTTGTCAGATGCTGGCACCTGCGGCGTGCTCTCCTAACAGTGGAGGTGCTCCAGTTCTCTCAGCCACTAGCGTGGAAGCTGGGGAACGATTTGCCCAGCAGCCCATGGAGCGGCTCTCTCAAGTGTGTTTGAGCCGAACATCTGGCCGTCATGAGTGTATGTACTAACTGGAGCATGCCCCTGAGCCCTGGCCCTCTGGGAACTTTTTCCTCTTCTCTTTTTCAGAGGATTACCCCAATGGCACCTGGCTCGGCGATGAGAACAATCCCGAGATGCGTGTGCGCTGCGCCATCATCCCCTCCGACATGCTGCACATCAGCACCAACTGCCGCACGGCTGAGAAGATGGCACTGACGCTGCTGGACTACCTCTTCCACCGCGAGGTGCAGGCCGTCTCCAACCTCTCAGGGCAGGGCAAGCACGGCAAGAAGCAGCTCGACCCGCTGACCATCTACGGCATCCGCTGTGAGTGCACGGCTGCCATCTCCCACCACCTTCGTAGCAGGGTTTGATGGGGAGGGGCTGGTGAGGTGGCGTTTGGCCAGAGGAGTCAGGACCCACGTTTCATTGTGGGAGACGGCGCCAGATCAGTGGTGGCCACAGAGCACGGGGTCGGGGGTGGTTCTGTACTGAACATTTAGTAAAGTGTTTCCTTTAGTAAAGTGTTGTCTGGTGCCCTCTGGATGAGGAGAACACTTGAGAACGTGTTTCTCCAGGGACCTTGAAATCCCAGCCTCGCTTGTCCTCAGGCTGCTCTTGAAGGAGGAGAAGGAGAACTGGGGGCCTTCCCTGCTGTCCCACTGGCCATGCTGATCCAGGCCCCCCTGAGCTTCCTGGTGGCATGAACAGAGTGCCACCTGTCCCCTTCCTTCTTGGGCAACCTTGGCAGCCGCACCGCGTGTTTATGGGCTGACCTGGCTGTGAGAGGAGCCAGGAGACGTCCTGAGACTGCTGTGGACATCCAGCATGGTCTGGGAAGTTTTCCTTGCTGCTCTTTGAAGTGCAGAACTTGCTCAGATGGGTGATGGACGCATCCTCTCACTGCCGGTATTTGAAAGGAAGAAGGCATGTTCAAATCCTCCTCATCAGCACCCTCTGGCCCGACAAACGTCTGCTGGTCCATCCATTCCTTAGAGTCCGCTAATCTCAGAGGCCGTTCTGTAAAGTGAGAGAACACGGGAGACGGGAGACATCACACAAAAGGGTTAGCCAGGCTGTCGGAAAATCTGGGTTCTGGAGAGTTGCTGCAGTTGAGCAGGGGGTTCACACCCAGTGTAGTGAAAAGGACACAAAATAAACTAGTCAGTGTTCACAGCTTCCCAGCAGAGGAGGCAGCCACTCCTTCAGGGAGATCCTTGCTCCTCAGGTGAATCTCTGATGCTGATCCATGCCCCTCCCTTTTAGGGGCAGTGGGAAACATAAAGGCTAACTTTTTCAGTAGCTGTTAGGAAAATGGCTGAAATATTTTTCATATGGCTGCTTATGCTGACCATTGATTAAGACTGAGGTTGTCTACTGGCTGCAGGTTTTTCTGCAAGTTGCTGAGAAGTGGAACCCAGGTCCCTCCTTACACTTGCATGTGGGCAGGGTGGCTCATCGTCCCCAGGATCTTGTGCCACTCCATCTGATACCAGTGGGCGCCTGTCACAGACTCTGGGAACCACTTCACATAACGCAGTGAAAAACCACTTGTGTGGCCAGCTGATGTTACTCAGCCAAGGAAGATGAGTAACGTTTTCCAGGGTTGGTTAGAGCAGGGGTCTACAAACTTTTTCTTAAGGGCCACACAGTAGATATTTCAGACATTGTGGGCCGTGGGGTCTATCTTCAACTCCTTGGCTCTGAAGGCAGCCATTGACAAAACATAGGCGTGGCTGTGTTCCAGGAAAGCGCCCCCCAGAGGTGGGCAGCAGGCCCGCTGCCTCCGCCGTCCTCTGCACTAGAGCGTGACGCGGGCTGAGACCCTCTCAGGGTAGTGGGTCCCGCTCAGACCTGTGCACGTGACCATGTGAAGAGCACCTGCCCTGAAGTGTATGGGGTTGCTGGGGAGCCAGCGACAGTGTTCGGCAGCATGGCCCACGGTGCAGGGTGCTGTCAGGATAAAGGTGAGTAAGGAGTGGCCCCGGTTGCATGCAGAGATGTGTAAGTGTCATGGGGTGCTTAACCACATTGTGGCAGGTGGCGGGGCAGCCTGGACAGGGAGCAGGCACTTTCTGGAGAAGGTAGCAGCACAGGAGCTGGCCTTGGCATGACCTGGTACATGTGTAGGAGCCACAGCATCTGGGCTGTGGGGGCCACTCTTCCCAGGTGAGGATCTGCTGCCCCTCTAGGCAGGTGACGGGGGTATCAGGACATGAAGCTGGGGGTGGAAGGCTTTGATTTGGAGAGGTACCTTGAAACGTCAGTCCAAGGAATATGGTCTTCCTGGGCACAGGCTGTGATGTGTAGGTTTTCAACAGTGGCATGGAGATCATTCCAGAGAGGTGATGGGGCATGGCAGGGTGGCATGTCACAGCAAAAAGCAGAAGTACATGGTGGCAGGGTGAGAGTGGGGTGGTGGAAGGTGCTGCGTGGGACAGAGCTGGGGCAGTTTCCTGGTTTCCCTGTGCACTGAGGCCACAACTTCATGGGTCATTCTTCCTGCCAAGCTTTTCCTTCTCTGAGAGGCATTGCTGACCTCTCAGGGTGTCAGGAGGCGCAGGGGAGTCGAGCATGGTGTCTGCCGCCACCCTCCGCCCCTTGGGCTTGCTGGCTTCAGGGCTGCCCTCCCAGGAAGTCCAGGTTGCTGGCTGTGCTTACTGGGCACTGGCACTGCACCAGTGGGGCCTGCCTTCCCAAGCTTCTGGGCCAAGCTCAGGAGCATTGTCCTCCAGAAGGTGGCATCCTTCCAGTGCCATAGTTCTCTGGAAGGTCCCTCTGGTTGTGAGCTCCTGTAGGATGGAGGCTCACATTGGTGCCCACATCCTTACTCATGGGGCCTGGTGCTGTGGAGATGCCAATATGTGCTGGTGTTAAAGGCAGAGCCCTGGGGAAGATCGTGGGTAGGACTGACCCTCAGGAAGACTTTGTATGAAAAAAGATGGCCTGTGACCAGGGCTTCTTTTAAAGACCAGAATAACTGTTGGGTGTAGACTAGGGTTGTGGCCATGGAAACAGAGGGGAGTGGACACATTTTGGGGGTTCTGGAAACATGAGCAAGGCTTAGCTTAACAGAACTCACAAATTCACCATTATCACTGTGTGTAGGGAAGAGAGCCATTTTCCATACAGCAGGTGACTAATCTACTGTCACACAACTTCTGAATTGCGAGCACAATGATTGTGTTTAATTGAAGCCCAAGTGGCAGGGTGTTGCAAGTGTTTTTGACGGGAGCCCATGGATAGCCAAGGATTCAGGTGGTCGCCCAATGAGGTGGCAGCCCTGGCCTAGGGCCAGGGGCTGTGCCAACAGCTGCTGTGTCAGCAGCCAACTGTGCTTTACCCAGGCAGCTTACGTTCTCTTTCAGGCAGGAGAAGCCTGTAGGCTCCCTTAAAATAGATGAATTCCTGACTCAGAGTGTATTCATTAGCTATATTATATCTATTTGTTATATGTAATTCACAATGAAAGAAGAAGTATCTTTTAAAAAAACACTCAGAAAACTGAATACTGTGTCTGTCCTCAGGAGTTACGGGGGGGAGCGTGGCCCCACTGGTGGCCCCATGGTTGTCCCCAAGGCTCTGTTGTAGCATGTGGTAAAGCTGCCGTCAGAAAGCAGATCAGGGCTGCAGAGGAGGACACAGGTTTGGCGTGTTGCATGCTTGGTGGGAGTTGCACCTTTGGGTGACAGTGTCAGTGTGCATGTGACTGAGTGTCCCCACCGATTGGAGAGCCATGTGGGCAAGTCTAGGAGCCAAGGAGGGGGCAGGGAATTCTAAGAACCACATCTGTGTCTGTCACAAGCATTTACAGTGGCTGGCTGTTCCAAGCCTCCATGTGGAAAGTGGGACCGCCCTTGGTGCCTTCAGAGTGCCTGGCTTGCACGGCCCTGCACTCTGCGCAAAATGGGGGACCAGCAAGCCCATCCTGCCGACGCTGCCTGGGTGCATCTGCAGAAGGACGTGCTGGGCAGGGAAGGGAAGGAGCCAGCCTGTCGGCCACACGCATGGTGGTCTGCTGTCCTCCTTGTCCCCAGCACGTGTGGCTCAGCACCCTCAGCTCACACCGGAGGCTGTGTCTCATGGGGGAAGGTGTGGGCAGACCGGGCTTGCATCGATGCTTGTGCATATTAACGTGATTCTGGGCCCCTCGCTGTGTATCTGCTGCTTTGGTTTTCAAGTGGAGAGAAAACTTCAGTGCTGCCAGGTGGCTGGGAGACAGTGCCGGCCAGGCCCCATCCGAGGGAGTGGGCGATGTGGGCTCAGGCCTTCTTCCTCTGGCATGAAATCCCCACAGAGATCAAGAACAGAGCCCTCCCTTCTCCCCACCCTCCCATTCCAGTCGTGCTGGTGGCGGTGAAGCCTTTTGAAAGTCGAAGTACTGTTGGTAATGTTCAGTTAGAATTGTTGAGATGTTAAAATATCTGTTTACTTTTTCTCCTTTTGACCCATTGAATTATTTTTGCTTTTTGTTGCACAGAAAACAAAACAAAAAAAAAAAAGGCGCATGGGCCAGGCCACTGAAAGCTCAGCTTGAGCAGCAGGGAAAGTGGAAGTGGCTACATGGCCACCCCTGCCTTAGTTTCTGCTGTTCCTTCCGAATTCTGCGGTGACATCCATGATGTCAGTACTCAGAAACCTACTGCTGTTGTCATTCAGCCACGTCCAGCTCATCATGGAGAAGATTTTGATTTAAGTTTCTCCTTTTAGTTTGTCAGCATAAATATTTTCTTCTTTTCTTTTTCTGGAGAAGATAATCTTTTTTCGAAACATATGGGAGGTCGCGCCTCTAAGTACCACCTTCTCAAAACGAGGGAACAAGAGTTTACTGAAGGGGGGTTGATTTGCTGTTTAGGGTGCTAGCTGTTTTAAGGTTCCCAAGGATTGATCGGGCCCCCCAGAATCTGGGCAGCTAACCAAGTAGTTTCTGTGCTCTGCAAAAGTAGCACATTATTGTAACTTTGAAAAACTTGGAAGATTTTCATAAGAAATGTGATCTAAGAACCTAAGCAGTTAGTTACTCTTTTTTTGTTTTGTTTTGAATTGAGAATATTGGCTTCATTCTGATGATTTTTACTAGTGTATCATGTGAGCCTCTACTTGAACTATGCAGTAGAGGGAGTCTTTAATCTGTGAGTGACTAGACATGAAGTGAAAACACATCAGAATGGTTATTCCAGATCTTTGAAGATATCTCTCAAGAATGCTGATGTGGATAAGAGATCCCCAGGGGACCTCGTAGCAGTTTGGGAGAAATTTGATTAATCTGCACAAACTAGAAGGTCATATGTTCGAGGATGACTGTAGTTGTCTTTTTTTTAAAAGTCATCCATGCTAAGAGCAAGCAGTGTTTCGTAGCAGAAAGCTGGCACTAACCTCTGTAAGTGCAGGTGTGCAACCCTGGCCCATTGTGTTTTGCAGGTGTGCTAAGTTCCTGTGGCTGCTGTCACAAAGTACCACAGATTGGAGAGCTTAAAACATGGACATTTGTTCTGAGATAAAGGTGTTGGCAGGGCCACACTCCCTCTGGGGCCTTTCCCTTTTCCAGGTTCTGGTGGTGGTCACTAGCTCTTGGTGTTCCCTGCCTTGTGGCCACAACTGTCCCGTCCCTGCCTCTGCCGTCATATGGCTGTCTTCTCCCTGTGTGTCTGTGTTTCTCTCTCTCCTCATAAGTGTGCCAGTCTTGTGGGATTTGGTGTTCACTGTACTCTACAGTGACAGTCTTAATTTAATTAGTTGGTATCTGCAAAAACCCTAGTTCTGAGTGAGGCCTCATTCGGAGGTCTTGGGAAGGACATGAGCTTTGGGGGGGACACTGTTCAATCCAGGGCACAGGACATGGGTTCTTTTGAACTATGCTAATCAGACGTGTCTCCTCTCAGTTTCTCTGCGGTGAAATGGTCAGGCTGCTTTGCACATGCCCCTGAGGGCAGAATTCCACTGGCACAGGCGCAGACATTCATCTGTCGTGGGCCAGCACATGTCTTTAGGGGACACTGGGTGCGCCAGTTTCCCTGGAGAGCTGGAGAAGGCTTGGTCAGCTTGGCCAGCGGCAGAGGAGGAGCCTGTGGGAAGTGAAGGCCTGCTGGGGGCCCTACTCAGCAGTGACCTGGACACTGCACCTCAGAGGAGGCCCCGAAGGTGGCCGTGAAAGCAGCCCTACAGGGCCCTCTCTTTCCATGCTGGGGTAGGTGTGGCTCCATAGTCTCTTCTCACAGAGTGGTGGAGAGCAATGGCTATGGCTTCAAGGCCCGGAGACTTGAGACGTGTGAGGTGTGGGGCACTTGGCGGGAGAGAACGTCCCAGCCAGCCCGTCGCTCAGAGCACTCTGGATTCCTGCTGCTTTTGGGGTCCAGTCACTGTCAATTCAAGGCTGTAATTTCAAGAAATGAATCATTGGCACTCAGTTTTCTTAGTTGCTTTGTCCTTGAGCTTGAGAGTCCAGCAGCAGTGATAGAGTTCTTCATTCCTTTGGGACAGTTAGCTCACGCTGCCTGCCCTTTCCCCTTGACATCTCCCATGGCCCTCCATGAGGCTCACTAGACAGCGGGGAGTCTGGCTGCATGGCTCGAGCCACCCATGTCAATGGGGCATTCTGGAAAGTGGAAGGGCAGTGAACAGAGACGAAGAGCGTCTTTTTACCTCTTTGGGGGATTGCCAGGTGGCTGGCTGGGAAGGAGCCAGAGCAGGCTGTGGCACCACCATTCTGAGCCTGGAGGGCAAGTACGTCCCTGATGCTCCTCAGAGGAGTGGTCAGGATGGACTCGGGGCTTGCTTTCCAGGTGAGGGGAGCTGCAATTGCTAGGGAACCTGCATTTGATTGGGAACGTCTGTGCCGCAACAGCCAGAGGCCAGGAACCTGCTACAGGTGCCATGCCCCCCTGACTTCCACCCTGTCTCCTGCCTGCACATCTTCTTCCTTTGGCCTCCCTGAGTCTGTCCTACCTGGGTTGTCAGGATGCTCAAAGGATCACAGAGTGACTCCACTTCACACAGGTGGGCACCGGGCAGTCTGAATTTTAAGGCTAGTTCTTCTCCTGACTGGTAATTTGACTTGGACAAATCACTTGTCCTTTTTCTGGCTTTTGCCTCAAAATTGAAGGGAGGGTAATGACATCAAATAGCATAAGAGATAAAATGCTTTAACAAGTGTGAAATACTAGTTAAATTTAGGACAATACTTTTATATCATCGTTATAAGCTTTTTCCTAGTCTATTTATTTATTAAGTCGGGGTTGTTCAGTACTTTCAGAAAAGGTGAAGAGTCGTCAAAGAGAGCAGCAGCTTCGGGCAGTGCCCAGAGACCAGGAGTCTAGCTCCTTCCCTGAGGTCAGGGTGCTGGCCTGATGTCTGAGCGTGAGCTTCGAGGGCAGAACGGGAACGTGTTTGTGCAGCCTTCAGATTCCGTCTGACCTCCCTTTCCAAACCCACAGCTCCTTCAGTGGGGGGATTCATTAGCTGGTTTCTCTTGGCAGCCATCAGGCGTCATGTGCCATCCATTTGGAGCTGCGAGTTGCTGTTGGAAGGAATTACGTAACGCGATGTCTTAGGAGAATTTCAAATGGACAATGTACAACTATGTCCGTATGTGTTTCTTCTTTAAAGGATGTAAGCAAGACTTTGAACTGGCAAGTTGACTTTTACAAAGTTGAATTTAAATGTTAATGTTTTTGCTAATTTCTTACATTTATACACCTGTGTGTTTTATACATGTTCTGTTACTAATAGGTTTTTAAAATTTTGTGTAAACTCATTAATACTTAGAGGTATTTGGAAGTTTTTTCCTTGAGTGTGAAGACATGAAAACAGGAGGATGGTTTTGAGAATGTTCCTTTTTATTGAAGAGTGTTCCAGAGATGACGTTCTCATACTGCATGGGATTGCTGTTTCTTCTCTTGTCTTAGAGACCATAGTCGTAGCTGAGCTCCTTTGTAACCACAGCCCATAGTTGGGTTCTCCCGTAACTAGTTTTAATAGTTGGGTTCTCTTGTCTCATAAAGTTGGCAACTCACCTGGGACTGTGTGAGGCTATCCCTAGCTCCAGAAGCCATACCCAGCATACAGTGCAATCACTCAGTATATTTACTGAGTGTGAGTGATGATTCCATGATTATTTTAGAGATGACCTGAAAGTCAGAAACCCAGGTTGTCACTTTATTTATGGATTTCCTTTTATGCATGAGAATGAAAAAGTGCTCCTGAAACTGCCTTAGGTTATTGTTCCTCCTGATCCTGTAAATCCTACTACTCCTTAACCCAATTTCTTTTTATCTAGATTACAGAAAAAGTCGAGAAGAGTCTTTCCAAAATAAAGGAAACTTGATACTTAATATAGTACTTAAAAAACAAACACTTCCTTTGCTTTGATTATTTCTAGTATTTTGATCTCAATAGGAACAGATTTTTAGAGATTGGGCAGTAATTTAACTCTCAGTAGATGGTCCAAACTCAGTGCTCTTAGTAGTCAAAGCAGGAAGTTTTTCAGTTTAATCTTTTTACTTTTACAATTTTGAATTTCATCCATTTATTTCCCTGTTAATCAGTGAAGCTACCCGAGGCAGCAAGAGAGGTCAGCATGTTAAAGAGAATTTCTTGTGGTTCACACATTCGTGTTCGTGACTTCCTATTGCCAAAGAAGGTGTTACGTGGTCTAGCGATAAGTGGGCTGGACTTGCAGCAGGAAATCAGCCCCATTCAGTGGCCAGCTCCAGAGGGGCCTCCCACATCCTCAGTTTTCTCGTTGTTGAGTATAAGGGGGTGTCTAGAGGCTGTACAGCAATGTTTTGAGAGCTCTTTGTAAATGTGATTAATAAATGTGGGTACCACTGAGGTGCTGTGCTGCATGTAGGTGAGTTACTGGGAGCCCGCAAGATTGCATGCAGCTGTGTTTGACACAACACTAGAGTGGGTCATGCCTACTCTGCTGGGGTCCAGAGGACTGGGGGTGGAAACAACGCCTTAGCACAGTAACACACAGGTGCTGCCCTGAAGGAGAGCCCCCGTCACTGAGGAGGCATGAGGGGAGGGCACGAGAAGCCTATACAGCGAGCATCCGACCTAGTAGCAGTGGAAGAATGTCTTAACATTGATGGCAGTCACCGTTTATTCAACAAATATTTAAGCATTTTCTGTGTGCCAGGATATTCTGGGTCCTGACATATGTGTGTGAGTGAAACAAAGATCTCTGTGCTGGAGAAGGACAAAGAGCAGACACAGTGAACACACATGCTCTCAATGTTAGGACAGGCGCTGGGAAGACAGGCGAGCAGTCAGGAGGCCTACGATGGGGGGAACACTGGTAAATGGGGTAAGGGTGGGTTCATGGAGGTGCCATTCTAGCCACGACATGAAGGAAGGGGGGTGGCAGCCAGGCAGATGCGAGTGAACAGAAGGGAGAATGAGTGGGGGGTTGTGGAAACAGGTTCCAATTAAACGGTGGGGATCTTGACCTTGTTCTCTAGGCATTCAGGGCATGCAATGCCATCTGTGAATTCAGGGCAGAGAGCAGCTGGGTGTGGAGGGTAGAGAAACCGAGTGCCCTTCATGCCTAGTGTGCCAGCTTATATCCATCGGGTGTGGGCGAACCATGTCAAAGGTATTTAAAAGCTAGACTAGTGAAAATAATGTGCCATTATATTTTAGTGGGTATTTATAGCTGATCCTGGAAGACCATTTATTCACTGGCTAACTATCTTCTCTTCTAAAATGTGGTTTTCTCTGTCATTTTCAAAGGAGCAAATCCCACCTTGATGGAGAGTGTGAGCAGGCCCTTTCCTGTGTTCAAGTTCCTCCAGACAGCTAGGGCCCAAGAGGAAGGTCTTTGTCTCACAGCTTTTATTTGGGATGTGTTCTTCTAGGTCACCTTTTCTATAAATTTGGAATCACGGAATCTGACTGGTATCGAATCAAGCAGAGCATTGACTCCAAGTGTCGGACAGCGTGGCGGCGGAAACAGCGGGGCCAGAGCCTGGCGGTCAAGAGCTTCTCGCGGAGAACGCCGTCCTCGTCCTCCTACAGTGGATCAGGTACACTTTTCACACTCAGTCTGCTCTTTCCTCTGGCCTCAGAGCGGTTGGCATTGTTGGCCTCTCGAGGGAATGGTCCAGAGTGGGACCAGCACACCTGGCAGAATCCATGGCAGCTGCTCGAGACCAAAGGCCTGGGCAGAGGTGGTGTGCAGTAGGAGCTGTCTGGAGACCCTTTCACCCCTGCCCTGCTCAACTGATGGGCAGAAAACCTCAGCCAGACTTGCTTGAAGCTCTTCCATGAAGGACAAAAGCCTGTGGGGCTTCCCTGGAAGTTTTCTACAGAACGGATATCAAGGCTAAGGCCTTTGCACACTGATATAAGTTCTGAGCGGAGGGAGTAGTTTGGTCAGCACAGTGGAACAGCTGCTTACCTTCCTCCCTCTGCCTGGTGATTTAGCGCCTGAGCATATTGCTTACCTAATAAAAAATAACATTATTTTTATTATATTATAATTTTCATTATTATTTTTTGCTTGGTGACCATAGATGAGGGGTTAGGGGTGAATACTGAATTGCTGTGCTGTTTATTCTTATTTTGAGTTTACGACCTCAGTTAGACTTATCCACAAGATAATGCAAAACCTCTCAGGCATTGTAGAGGGGCTGTGTGTCCTCAGGAAGTTTTCATTAGGCATGACAACGTGACTTTGTATTATCTTTCACCTGAGACATCTCCAAATACGAAAAAATAATATAAAAAATAAATAAATAACCTTCCCGCAATAGTTCCCTTGGCAGCGGCTCTTGGAACTTGAGCCCTGACTGGGGACTGGGTTGGGATCCAAGGGCAGTGATGGGCGGGGTCAGTTCTTCTGTGCATGAGTCTTTGTCCCTATCCTGGAAGCACTGCAAGTTACGGACCAGATCACCTGGAGTTCTCTCGGGGTCTTGTTCTTGTGAACCGTACTCCAGGAAGGAGTTTTTCTCCCAGTTGTTTTGGTAGTTATCAGATACTTAGCCTTAGCTGTTGCCAGGGTTCTTGAAGACGGGAGACTGCCAGCTGTTGTGGGCCACACAAGTTGTGCCCCTAAAGCAGGCATGTATTGAAGAAGCTCTTAGTGAGGAATCTATGTCTTTCTGTTACAATTAGGAATTCTGTCTTGCAAATTTAGAGAGTATGGGTTAAATGCATTTGGTGAAATATCATACAGCACAATGGCCTGTGGCTATTGAAATGTAGTTATAGAAATATAATACATGACTTGAGATGCATTTAGATGTTATTAACTGGTAGCAGGGAGCAGATGTGAAAACCATAGTTATGGTATGATCCCATTTTTATTAAAAGTATATAGTTGTCTGTGGAAGGTGATTGAGAATCTATATGTGATAATTTTAATGGTACTATCTCTAGGTAGTAGGATTGTAACTTTTATTTTTCTCTTTCTGTTTTACTATAGTTTCCAAATTATTTCCAATAAACATTGCATTAGTTTCATAGTTTTAAAAATGCTGTTTAAAATTCAAGGGGAGGAGATTTCTGCTTTTAGTCATGACACAGGAGGAACCAGACTGGATTCTCTTGCCCTAGAAATCTGGACAAAATCTATATGACAGCTGTTCCAAGACATTGGACAGCAGGCAGTGCAGGACTGTGGTCCCTGAGAGAAAGGAAATAAGAGAGGTGGCCCTGCCATCACTGGATTTCTTTCTGGAGGCATTTTGGGCCATGGCACAGCAAGGTGGATTCCAAGCAGAGTACAGCTGTGTCTCTGAGTTGAGGAGATGGACAGGCGTTTAGAGAGGCTGAGGCTGCTCAAAGTTGTGGAGTTAAGTTCTTAAGAGGAGATGTTTACATAAAGACGAGCTCCAGAGTATGCATAGGAGCTCCCTCGAGCGTTTGCTGAATTCTAAGATGTACATACCTAAAGTGAAAAGTGGCTGGGCATCTGTGAGCTCAGTGGTCCTAGGAATGGTTCACACTGGGCTGAGAGGTACTCAGAATCCCACTGGTCAGCATGGATATTTCACAGGGATCAGTCAGGGCCTTCATTAGGGGCCCCACAGGCCATACCTAAGAGTGGGACTAAACTGTCTCCAGAGTAAAGACAGCCACACTGAACCATGAGTAACAACACTGCAAGGAAGACAACAAAATGTGGACACTCAGTGAGGCAGAACCCACAGCTTTCAGAATCCAATCAAAAATGCCAGGAGGCAGGGGATTGTGACCTGTGACCAGGAAAACCAGTCGATGGAGAGAAGCCCAGCTTGGAATTAGCAGACTAGGACATGAATACATCTATTACATTCAAGGATTTAAAGGGAAAAAGAAGTGTAGCAAGGAGAGAAATAGAAGATATAAAAAGAACAAATGGAACTTCTAGAGATGAAAAACCCGGGGAGGGTTGCCAGGCTGTGCCTTCTGTTTATTTCAGACATGCTCATTGAAAGGTCAGTGGTTTATGTCATCAAATGGTGAATCAAAACTTGCTAAGGGCCTTGCAGAGCAAGAAGCTCTCGTTATATAACCTGACAACTACTAGATATCGTAGCCTACATTATTAGGACACTGAAAGATCTTGAAGGGGTGAATTTAATGAATGAGATGAGATTTCAGAGCCACAAATGTAGCCTCAAAGCATTTGCACAGGTGCAGATATAAACATAATAGCATGTGAAGCTGAGCTGTTTGCCAGCCCCACTGGTGTGGAGTGGCTTCCCTAGAGTGAGTGTGACAGGAGGGGGCTTTAGTCATGGAGGTGTACCATGCACAGTGAGACCCTGCCCGACTCTGAGCTGGTCTGACTTGTGGTCACAGTGGTAACATTTCAGAGCCACTGAAAAGAACTGTTCTGAGATAGGCTTTCATGGTGGTAGTGGGACTTGAAACCATTGTCTTTGAGGGAGTGGTTAAAGAAAATGGTTAGAAATTCAGACTTCCCAAGGTTTGATCAAGGTCTGTTGGATGCCTGAAGGAGTGGCATATCAGTGAAGAATTACACTGGATTTTTTGTCCTAAGAGGGTTGGCATGGTTCAGGGAGGTAGACTTCAGTCCACGTGGGATTTTTGTCCTTCTTCTTCTGGGATCTTCGTGGACTGGCACAGAGCTGGACACGTGGTTAGCACTCCATACATGTTCTGAGTGAATGAGGAAGAGCTGTAGAACATGCAGAACTCTCCCCACAGGGAGATGGTTGCTCAGGACATGGTATGTCCCCGTCTCTGGAGGTGCTCAGGTGGAGTTGTTGTCTTGGCCGCAGATGGTGCAGAGCAGAACTTCTCTGAGTTCGGCACGTAGGTGGACCACCTTAGCATCACATTACATTCAGATTCTGTTGTAGTTATCTGAGGAGTGGCCTGAAACTCCGTTTCTAGCAAGCACCCGGTGATGCTGACACTGCTGGCCCAAGACCACATTTGAGGAGCAGGAATGCTGAGTATGGTAAAACATGGTGGGTTGTTGGGCCTACTAACATTTAAGTCTGTTTTTCAACTTTGCAACTGGAAATGCAGGAAGTCTTTACCTCCAGCTCATGTTGTTTATCTCTGTTAATGTGGCTTTTGATTCTATTTATTTTTACATTTTTTTACTTATTAGTGTTTGCTTCTCCCAGTTACCAGTGTTTCTTTCAACTGAATAACAATAATACAGTTTTTTGTTTGTTTGTTTGTTTGTTTGTTTTTAAAAGATGACTGGTAAGGGGATCTTAACCCTTGACTTTGTGTTGTCAGCACCAGGCTCTCCGAAGTGAGCTAACCGGCCATCCCTATATGGGATCCAAACCCATGGCCTTGGTGTTATCAGCACCACACTCTCCCAAGTGAGCCACAGGCCGGCCCTGCAATAATACAGTTTAACAATGTTGTGTTTCTTTAACTTACTTTGTTTATAAACATGTTGGCATTTCTTCTAAGACGTTATGGATTTGCGTAACTCTCAGGTGCTGTTTGCTTCTTGTGAACAGCCTTGTGAGCATGTCTTCAATGTCTGAGTCCCCCAGGCAGTTCCCCCACATGTGGCACGTCTGAGGAGCTTCATCAGCTGTCTAATGCCAGGGTGGCTTTCAAAGAAAAGTGGAGGCCAATAGCATCTTTCATTGCTTGGACAATGTGCCGTTTTCTCAGTACCACACCCCATCTGTGTGGGTAGCAGGATCCTCCTTGTTTTCCTGTGTAATCAGCCTTTTTCCAGCCCTCTACGTGGATATCTGGATGCCCCAGACGTCTGGAGCAGGAGTGAACACACAGACGAGACTGACAATGAGGGTAGCGTTCAAGCTGGAACTTGTGAAAAAAACTGTGTGAGGGTAATTAACATAATTATACTCCTGTGGCTTTTAGGCATTCATTTGAGTAGGAAGGTAGAAGAATTGAGTTTTAGGGCCAGGCCCGTGGCTCACTCGGAAGAGTGTGGTGCTGATAACACCAAGGCCACGGGTTCGGATCCTATATAGAGATGGCCGGTTCGCTCACTGGCTGAGCGTGGTGCTGACAACACCAAGCCAAGGGTTAAGATCCCCTTACCAGTCATCCTTTTAGAAAAAAAAAAGAAGAATTGAGTTTTGAGGGGTTATATCCAGTTTCATGCCACTGCTGATAAACGCAGACAAGTGCCACTTTCTTGTGGAGTTTGTTGGAAGCCGGAAGCTCACCTGGCTGAAGGCTGCCTTCCTGAACTCTGGGATCAAATGAGCTTTGAGAGAAGCAGAGAACACACTGAATCAGTTCCGTCGTCCTGTATTTTAACATACTATGTACTCGGCTAAGATTAGATAGAGCAGAGCAGGAGTCAGATCAAAGGATTTCTGGAATTTTTGTCATTGTTCGTTTTGCATCTATTCTTGGCCTGACAAAGCTAATCTGATATTTAACGCTACTTCGGTGACAGAAACATTCCACTAAAGTGTAATTAAGCCAGAATTCCATTAATTTGGAATTGATAGTAATTCCAGCCAGAGTTGTCTTATTTACTTTTGAGTTATCAGCAGACAGAAAAGGAACTTCCAAATGAATACTGTAAAGGAGATTCTGAGCCAAGGTAGTATACTTAAAGCTGAATTAGTATGGCCAATTTGAATACAAACCATAAAATCACTAGTTCCCAGGGATTTTTAAAAAGTCAGTTTACGAAAGAAAGTATCTGTGTTTTTGTTCTGTATGGCAACACTGTGCAAACTTTTATATTTGCTTGGTTTTAAGATGGCTGGATTTTATTGTTTAAAATATGTCAACCTAAATAATAAACAGAGACACCCTCTAAAAGAAAATGATATTTATTCAGGAATAGGCACGGCAGTGGGAGCGCACCTGCCATAGTAAGCCATGCGCATATTCAGGGAGGTAAAGGAAGGCAAAGGTTTTAAAGGAAAAGGGATGGAGGCTGACATGATTGTTTTGGGATAATTTTTCTTGGCTGCAAGGACCAATAGCTAGCGTGACGCCCATATGAGGTTGGACAGGCAGTTGCTGAGCAGAAGTATTTTCATTAAGGTTGCCGTGGCCTCTGTGCAGGGTTGTGGCTTTTTAGAGTCCTTTGTGATAGTACTTGCTGTCAGACACATCAGACATATGTGCGTGAGGGCCCCCCTTCTTGGCCTTTTCTGGCTCTGTTTGTCAGGGGTTTTAACACAAGCAACTCCATTTTGGTTTTGAAAACTTCCACAAATACAATTCAGCATTTTCCCCCACAATTCTCATTGATGAATAGAAAGCCTCAGGTGGGTGTCTAGGCAGTGGACAGTGTTCTAGAGTTGCAGAGATCCAGCTCTAGGGACCCGCTGCTTGCACGTCTGTGTGTGCAGCATTTTTGCTTCCTTCAGTGCAAGAGGACACTGGGAAGCAAGCGCCAGGCGGGTGAGGGGAGGAGGGGCCCTGCACGCTGTGCCCCATCTTTAGCCCACTGCCCCATTGGGGATGAGCGGTCCACAGCCACCTCCGTGCTCTTCCGAGCCTCACGTCGATGCCAGCGTGCTCATTTCCAGTCCTTGGCAGTGGTTCTTGCACAATTCTTGATCACAAACAAGTAAGCAGTGCAGGTTTTTGCACTAGACTTTGGTATCATGTGAGCTATAAAATGTGGATTTAAATTGGTCTTGATACTGCACAGTTGTATTGAGCTGCTTGATGAGATGGTAATTTTGCTAATCCAAATCTAGGTCTGGAAACCATTTATTTACATCATACCCACACATTGTATCTTTTGTGGGTTTTGGTTTTTTTTCTTTTTTTTTAGAACCCTGGGGATTGTCCTTCTTTGTTATATGTTTGAGCCATTTGAGAAATGTCAAAATCAGTTGATTTTTATTCCCATTGGAGCAGAAATGACTAGCACGTCTGTTTAGTTGTGCAGTTACTGGCTAGCAGAGTGGCCTTTGAATGTTTTGTTCATGTGCCCTCTTCAATGAAATTTGAAAAGTATGTTCTCTCCTCATATTTTCAAGTTGATATTTTAAAAAGTTGACACCTAAACTTTTAAAATATAGTTTGAGCAACTGAAAAGGATGTAATTTCCAGCATATTTCAGGTATTAACAGTTTATTATTATTTTATTACTTTTAAAAATGTATTCAGTGGAATCTGTATTCCATGGCAATTTGATACCTCCTGTTAGCTATTAGAAAAATCCATGAAGAGCTTTTCTTTAACAATCAGAAATTTTATATCTTTCATTTTCTCCTTCCATGTATATGAACATTCTAATTCTCTCACAGAATTTCATCTTAATTCAATATATTTTGATGCTCAAAAGTTTTTATTGAACAATTATCGTAGTTCTCAGCAACAAGAAATTTAAAATATTCTTTTCTGAAGAGTTGAAGAAAATTCTGATTGAGATATAATTACAGGTTGAATATCCCTAATCCAAAAATCTGAAATCTGAAATGCTCCAAAATCTGACATTTTGTGAGTGCCCATGTGACACTCAAAGGAAGTGCTCATTGGAGCTTTTCAGATTTTGGATTTTTAGATTAGGGACACTTATCCAGGTAAATATAATGCAGATATTCCAAAATCTGAAAAAATCTGAAATCTGAAACACTTCTGGCCCCACGAATTTTGGATAAGAGATACTCAACATATACAATTACAGTTAATACACAGTAAAGAAAAAAATAAATATATCTCATTTTGATTAAGCATAGAAAGTAAAAATTTTTTTGAGATGTGTCTTTAACTGAGTGGATAGAGCTTTTTCCCTAGTTAGCTTAATTATCCATGTGCAGATATTACTTACTGCTCACCTGAAACATGGTTTAACATCAATTTTAGTCCTGTTTTTCATGTTTGCAGATACTTGCTGCAGGACTTCATTCATTTAAATAAGTCAATGGGAATAGAAGGGGTTTTGTTACAATGACTCAATTCTTTAGACCCTTCTGGTTTCTGTGTCAGAAATCTGAGTTACCTAAAACAATATGATCTCTACAGAAAAATGGAGACAAGTGGATGTGAGTCTAGGAAGGACTCAATACTTTTGATCTTCTGTGGGTGTGGAGGGTGGGGCAAGAGGGAGCCCTGAAATACTGTGCATTGTTCTGTCCTCTGGGCTGACCCCTGATGCTCACACCCTGCATCCACCCCACAGAGACTATGACGGGCACCCCGCCTCCTGCCACCGAGCTTCAGCAGCCGCAGCCACAGGCCTTGCACTACGCCCTGGCCAACGCCCAGCAGGTGCAGATCCACCAGATTGGAGAGGACGGGCAGGTCCAAGTAGTATGTACCCTTCTCATTAATGGGTAGATACCTGGGGGGGGCTACACTTGGGGGGTGGATTGCCAGGGGGAAAGGGCTCAGCCAGCCTCACTCATTTCTGGAATACATGGATAGCTTGGGATGAAGTGAGAGTACCTCATATAAGCAGAAGTAATTAGGTGATGAGCTTTTGCATTCCACAGATGAGGGCAGTTACCGAGTGGCCTTGCCGTTGAAGTGCACGAGGGTGGCTCATTGGTCCCCTGCTCATCCCTATCCTGCAGAGAACCTTGGCCTCCATACATGTGCACCTGGAGGCCACTTGACAGTCCCTGCTTCCTCCTCTCCTCCTGGGAAGCAGCATAAGTATTTCTCAGTTCAGAAACACAGGCATCTTTTCCTGAGGGAAGGAAAAGTGGTTTCCTTCTGGGATCAGTGGAAAGAGCTGGTGGCCTTGGTTTCCTTCAGAATTGTCCAAGCTGCACTAGTCTCTTATGGGCACCACCTTGGTGATGACTCACTGTGCCCTGCCTTACCCCACCCCCACTGAGAGTTCTTTTATGCTGGGGGATACTGTGGCCTAAGCTGTGGTGGTGTGATGCCATAGGCCAACTCCTGGATGAAGGTCCTCTACACACATGGCTCCTGAGGCACGAGAGTAGGAGGTGGCAGAAAAGGAGGGAAGACTTTTCTGGGAACTTTGCTGGGGAGCTGGGAATTTTAAGTGACCACTGGGATCTTGTAGAAGTTTCTAGTTGCACCCAGCCTCCTTGGGGCCTTTGAAGATGGTGTACCATCGTTGTACCCCACATTGCCAGGGCTTCCTCCTGGAGGGAGGACACTCCTCTGCTGAGAAGGAAACACCGTTTTCATCTCAGCGTGGCCTCAGCTGGTGCTGCACTCAGCACGCTGCCTGCAAAAGGAAGGCCTAGAAAATGCTGAACTGATACTTTTAGATGGTTTTCCTTCTTCCAAAGGAGGTGAAACAGTTAGGAATGCAAATTTAATAAGCTTATTAAATTTGCCTAATAGACATTCACAAAGGCAGTTACTGTTAGCTTGTTAGTAAGAAAGTTCTTTGGAAGAATTCCAGAATAGATAGCTTTGTCATAGGGTTTACATAGAACATTCTACAGTAGTTTATTTTAAGATACATTTTGACTAAGATAGAATTTTAAATAAGATGAATATCATTTCATTTAGCTAAGTTAAGGTTTATAGGAATTATTTGTCTGTTTGTATCTATAAGCGCGAATGTGTTTTAGTAGGATTCTTTGAGGTTTTGGAACCACATTTATTAGTTTTTAATTGAACTATTTAAATAGTTGTGTGAATTTTTCTTTGATTTAAAAAATTGCCTGTTCTCAATCTGGACGCACACGTCTCGTGTCCCTTCCACCCCAGTCACGCATTGCTTGTACCACCTTTCCAGCATTCCCAGGTAGCTGGAATACTCTCCCTGCTGTTTTCCACCAGGTTTCTAGTCCCTCTGAGTTGAAAGTATAATGAAAAAAAAAAGTTGTCATTCTAATACTCTATTTTCCCTCTTTTCTATATGTTATTCACATTCTTAAATCTACTTGTTTAGTAGCACTTAAAGATTTAACAGATATTTCCTCTGACCCATTGTTTCTTTAAGAATTACGATGAAATGCTCTGTATATCCCCCTTGTGCTCAGTTTAGCTTACTGCAGTTTTAGTTACCCATGGTCAACTGTGGTCTGAAAATCTAAATGGAAAATTACAGAAATAAACAATTTGTAAGTTTTAAGTTGTGTGCCATTCTGAGTAGTGTGATGTTGTCTCACAATGGCACTGCTCCATCCTGCCTGGGATGTGAATCCTTGCTTTGTTGAGCATATCCACACTGCACATATTTATGGACGGAAAAAAACACAGTAGGGTTCAGTACTGTTTGTGGTGTCAGGTGTCCACTGGGGATTTTGAAACGTGTCCCCCATGAATAAGGGGGGACAACAGCATACTAAAAATTTAATTTAAAGAGGTAATTTAGTAAGCTTAGACTATGCTCGTATTACATCGCACTCTTCCGGATTTAGTGTCTTTATCTGAATTGTGAGCAGATGATCAAGAACAGACATTCTGGAAAGCATTTCTTGTTTCCTTTGGTTTTGGTTTTCTTCTGATGCTTCTTGATGTCTTTTCTTGCTGCGGATCCCACAGGGACACCTCCATATCGCCCAGGTGCCTCAAGGGGAGCAGGTGCAGATCACACAGGACAGCGAGGTGAGTCTGGCCGCCATGGTCACAGGTGTTGCTGTCGGCAAGCCCCATGCCATCACACTCTCTGGACTTTTGTCTGCATCACATGCAATGATGATAGGAACTTCCACGTTGACTCCCACTCCTAGAGCTTGCATGCCAGACCTACCTGCTGCTGATTGCTGTGCTCCCCGTTAGTCAGCATGACCTCCTCTTATCTGTCTTTCTTTGCAAAGACTTCATGTGTTGATGTTGCTGCTTCTGGCTATGGTTGGTGCTCCGAGCAGCCTTCTCCTCCCGCCTGGGGAGCACCCCAGCATGGTGGGGGCACAGTGGGACTGTGGACACTGCCCTTGCCTTGCCAGCCTCAGCTGCCTCTTTGGCTGCTGTGGGGTGGCAGGGAGTCTCATCAAGGAACATGTGCGCGTCCCAGGGGCTGTAGGTGGCTCTTGGCACACCACTGCTCCTGCAATCGGCCATCTGAGCTGTTTCAAGTTCACGGGACCCAGGCTTCTTGTTCCTGGTGTCAGCACTTTGTCACTCCACTCTTCGTCAGTGTTAATCAATGACAAGGACAGAGTGCTGCAAGTCCTTTCCAATTGCACAAATCCTGTTACGTCCACGTGTGCCAGCTTTACAGCCATGGGACTGTGGGTGTCAGGCTTGGCCACACGCTCAGAAGTTTGCATCCATCAGCTGCTGAGGGGTTTGGTGTATAAAGGTCAGGTTGACAGTCTGAGTTGTTGGAAAATGACCTGCCAGTCCCGGTGCTCCTTTGTTTATATGCCTGGATTGACATTGTACGAGCCCCTCAGGGCAGGCCTATCTGCTGAAGAGATATGGTCATTTCCTATAGCACAGGCCACATCAGTAGATGCAACGCACTTGGCTTCCCCGGGACTGTTGAGCAGTGCACATGTGTTGCTCTAAGAGATGTGGCATGTGCCCGTGTTCTCCTGCATCGTGTGCTCCACGGGACAAAGAGCGTGCCTGCTTCTAGGACGTGTAGATGGCACTGGCTTTGCATTTGACGGGCCTGAAGATGTGTTGCTACAGAGACCTCAGTTTTCCACGTACTGAGTGCTGAAACAGATGCAGAACCACCAGTGACCAGAAGCTGTGAATTGTCAAGAGCCTTGCAGGGACTCTCTCAAGGGAAGTGTGTGACTAGTTTAGTGGTGCATAGCCTTTCAGAGCTACTTTTTGGAATGTTTTCCTCATATTGTAATGGCAGCCTAGACTGCCTTCACTACATGGATATAATATTAGTCAGGAAGATGTTCGGCCCCCAGAATCGGGTACTGGTTGAGGAGAGCAGGAGGCCTGCTCGCTGACTGTGTGGAGGTCTTCCTAGGGCACCTGCTGCTGCCAGGCAGTGTGTGGGGTGCAGGCACCATGGTGGAAACATGGTCAGGGACTTATGGTGTACGTGATGGCCGTGCCTGAGACACTATGAGGATGGCTGAAGGGTGATGTGCACGCCACAACACCAGGGGCACGCACCTTCTAGGAGAGTGTCAGTGGTGTGGCTTTCTAGGGGTGTCAGTGGCGTGGCTTTCTTTTGGGCCTGGCAGGCTTTGTGCATCCAGCATCTGACGAGGCATGTCCTGGAAAGGGAAAGCAGGAGCAGAGGGCGGGGGGTGGGGGGGCGAGGGTACTGTTAAAGGACACAAGAGAATTAATACAGGGGAAAGAGAGGGCTGGTCATGTGAGTGGATTAGTTCATTCACTGGCATGATCAAGTCACTAATAAATGTGCCGCCAGATGAGTGAAGGGAAGAAGGCACGGGAGTGTGGCCAGAACACAGGTGAGTGAAGGGAGCACAGAGATTGTAGCTAGAGAAGGACTGGGGGTACGCGGGCCCAGCTGAGGGCCAGGCTTTGTTCCGTGTAAAGCAGGAGCATGGGGTATCTGGGGACAGGACCATGCCTGGTCTGATGGTGACACAAGGAGTGTCATTTGTCATCTCCACATGGAGTGGACAGTAGAATGGTGAGGCCGCCAGCCAGGCAGATGCAGGTTTCAGCGGCACCTGTCCATGCAGTGGCTATGGTGCAGGGGCTGGGAGGGCCAGATGCCTGGGGGGCTAGGAGGCCAGACTGACAGCTAGAGATGTCAGCCAAGGGTCTTCAATCCTTTAGAAGGCACATGCATTTAATCAGAATTCTTAATTTGCTTGTCATCATCTGAAACAAAGGAAAATTGATAAAATAGTAAAAGAAAAAAATCAATGCATTTGCTTTTTTATTACTTATGCTAATAAAACTTTAGATTACTTTTTGAATTTCAATTTCACTAATCAGTTTTGCCTATCTTTTCAGTTTTCAAAACTGGGTCCATCTTGTATATGCAATCCAGTATTTTTTGTTTCCATTAGGAATTGAATGTAATAAATTAGAAGAAATTGCTGATAGTATTAATGATTACTTTGTGATAAGTTACAATATGCAATCAGTCTTCTTATCACAATAGATCCTTACCTTGTTCATTTAAAATTAAGTAATTATTTTGTTAACATGAGGATATCTGCAGTAAGATATTTAGCAGAGTCTGCCAGACTTAAAACAATTCTTTTTTACAATAGCCAAAGACTAGTTTCCTCCTGGTGAGATGTGAGTAGGTCTGTGGTTGGGTTAACTACACTGATCGGTCCACGTCCTGGTTGTACTGATGCAGTTGAGCTCTGTAAGATGTCCCCAGTGGGGGAGCTAGGCCATAAGTACACGGGACCTCTCTGTACACTCTCCATAGTTCTTAAGTCTAAAATTCTTTCAAAGTAAAAAACAAAAAATTTCATTTGGGGTCAGGATTGGGGGATGCGTATGATGTTTTTCTGAGTCATTTTGTTGGTTTGTTTTCACAAGAAAACAATAGTCTCCAGAATCTGAGCTGAAATATTTTGTTTTGGAGTTATTACTGTTACAAGGGGTTGAATTTTTATAGAATTAGTGGTTTTCTAGTTATTCCCAAATGGCATGGGGAAGTTCTTGCCTCGGTGTTGGAGTTGCTTTTGTTTTTGATAATCTCCTGTTTTTCATCATTTTGCAGGGTAATCTACAGATACATCACGTTGGACAGGACGGGCAGGTAAGGACTCACCAGTTCTTCCTTCCTGCCAACTTTTGGTGACCTGCCACTGGACCACCTGGCCTTCTCCCACCTATGAGACATTGCACTGCCCAGGTGGTGGCGGCTCTTAGGGTGGTGGCTGGGGGTGAGAGGGCCAGGCAGAGTCTGCCCCGGGGGAAGATGGGTTGTGCTTACAGTGGGGGTGCAGATGCCTGAGAGGATGTGGGGGCAGCTTGGCTGCTGCACTTTCTTCTGTGTGGGCTTTCACAGTAGCTTTTGCCTTCTAGAGGAAACTGCCCCCAAGTTTACCATCATTTTCTGTACATTTACATGAATGTACCGATGGCACATTTACACAGATAGCTGTGAAGTAGAATAAGATAGGTTTTGTTCTTGTCTGTTGTTGTCAAATGCAAACCACTTGTCTTTTTTCTTCAGTCTAACGCTCTCCCAACTGAGCTATTTCGGCAGTTACACTTGTCTTTTTTCTGAGGCAAAAGGAGTAACTATTCGTTGAACAGACTTGGTACAAATTGTGTTGACAAAGCAGGGTGTTCTCATGAGAGGACCCTAGGGATGGGCTTGCTGTCCAGGATCGAGTGAAATTGCTGGTGGGGTTTTTTGTGTTTTTTGTGTGTTTTTTTTTTTTTTTTTTGAAGATGACCAGTAAGGGGATCTTAACCCTTGACTTGGTATTGTCAGCACCACGTTCTCTGAAGTGAGCGAACCGGCCATCCCTATATAGGGATCGGAACCCATGGCCTTGGTACTATCAGCACCACACTCTCCCGAGTGAGCCATGGGCCGGCCCACTGGTGGGTTTTTTTGAAGACAGCTCTATTAAGGAGGCTGTTGTCACCTCTGAATTATTACTGAAAAGAGTCCAGATGATGCTCCTTTTCTATAAAATGCAACTTATGAAATTGGTAGTGAGAACCACAAAAACAGAGCTCACTTATTATCAAGATAATAACACTCATTAGTTTTTAAAATATGGTGCCCACTCTCATCGAAAAACCTGTGTGCGTTCCCTTTGTCACTGGCCAAGGCCCTGCCAATGTCTGCCCCGACAGAGCCTGGGGCACCGCAGGGACAAAGACATCTGCAGAATCAGGAAGAGGAAGGGGCAGATATACCCCTTGGGTTTCTTTTGACCCCCCTCCAAGATGCCTTGGGAGAAGGGCTGCAGATCCTAAAGAATTTGTTGTTAATTGGAGTTTATTAGTTTGAAAGTTTCATCTTAAAAAGATACATAAGGTTTTGATCAACTTGTCCTGCAGGAATATTGGTATATAAATATAAAATAGCTGCTTTGGAAAAGAGCCAAAGCAATGCAAAATTGGAAAAAAAAAAAAAAAATCCACAGGTGTTTCTTCTGAGTTCGTGCTGTCTGGTTATAAGGTTGTGATCAGACTCAACAGAGGTCGACTCTCCTCACCTTCCTTCTGCTTGCTTCTCACAGTCAGCGAGGGTAGCAGGAGATGGGCCTTTTAGCTCGTAGTATTTATCCTTGTCTTTGACAATTTAGTGGTATGTGTTTATACTGGTAGTGAAATTTGATCATAGTTAAAATGCTGCCATACTTTAATTCATAAGAAAAGTAAGTATGTCACCTTTGATATTCCCTTTGTTTCTCTCTCGGTTCCTGGACAAAATTCTACTTGGAATTTAAAAAATATAATCCTGTTTTTATACTATATTAGTTTAATGCTTACATTTATGATTGTAGATGATTTATCATGAGGGCAGAGATTCCAGCTTTTGTGAATAGGCACAGCAGGTGCATGATTTCCAGACAGCTTTGAATTCAGGGACTCTGGGGGCTTACATTGGAAGGGTCACTGTCTGAAATTCTCCAGGAAAACTTCCTTCTAATGTCTCTCTTCTTCCCACTCCCTGCACCCACCTAGGAGCCAGGCCGCTGCGGGACTCGGGGCTCACTCTTGTCTCTTCCGGTGCTTCTTCCTTCATGCTCCCACTGGCACTTTTTCTAAGCAGCCACACTGCAAAATAAGTACCCTACTGGTCACTTTTATATTAAATGGATGATAATTTATAAGTCATTTGGTTGTTTTTTTCCTGTAAAATCTCATACTTTCTTCCCCCCTCCTGTTTCCCATCATCAGTAGTATTTGTGGGACCTCAAATCTAGATACAGTCTGATGATGGCCAGTACTAACTCTGATGGTAACTGGTGGAATTCTAATATCTGGCACCTTTTTTTTTTTTTAAAGGAAACTCTGCTTTCCTATTTAAATAAACAGTATGCGTTCATATGAAGCTGCCTTTTTCTGGTAAATCTACTTAGCTAATCCTTTTTGTTTTCCACTTGTGGAAATCCTATTTTTGTTTTATCATTTGTCCAGTTACTAGTATGATGTTACCCTGCCTGTAATGGCTTTGTTTTCCCATCAGACCAGATGTTTGTGAATAGGACACTTCAAAAGGCACAAAACACCTTACTCACCTCAGTGTCTCTGGCAGGGCTGACTCAGAAGCATGGTCCGAAGCTGGGGAATAGGTGGCCCCATTCTCTCTCTACACCCCTGCCCTGATACCCACAGGAGGACAGTGCTCCTGGATGCAGGGCTCTTTCCCCTCCAGCCAGATGCGGTCTTGGAATCTTCCGCCAGGTAACGCTGCAGACAGCTGAGTTCCCTGTGCCAGAAGCCTCTGCCAGTCCTGGGGTCATTGTTGGGATTTGATTTACCAATGACTTGACAATACAAGGCTCATTCCAGGTTGATGGGGGGGGGGTGTTTAAAGGTGTTAACCACCTCAACCCTGAGTAAAAGAACATTTTCCTGAATTGTAAAAACCTGTGAAGAAATTAATATTAGTGCTTATTTTGATTTCATAGATCCACTGACAGTTCCATCAGCTTAATATTAAATTCTTGTTCCATAGGTTTAACTGTCATTTAAGAATGGTATATGGCAGCATAACCTGATTCCCATTGTCAGAAATATTTGTGGAACCTCCGCAAACTCAGAGTCCTATAGAGCAGCTCAACATCCTTCCGAGGCTGATGACTGAGGCCTGTCCCCTGTCCTGACTGCCTAGTCCTGATCCTGCAGTCAGGGCCGCTTCCCCTCCTGGTGCTGCAGCGCGGTTTGACTCCTGTCCCACTTCTGTGCTCCTCACTGCTGCTGCTGCCTGTAGGTAGTGGATTGTTTTCTCAGTCAGCATACAGTGTCTACATTTTGCCATGTGGACATGATAGACAGGTGCTGCTGCTGAGGTGGTGGCATGGGGAGGCCAAGGCTGCAGGCAGCAGTGAGTAAGTTTCCAGGAGGGATCTGATTTCTTTGTGCTATGTTCTGCTGCCATGATAGTTAGGAGTTTATTATGCCACATTTACATAATCCTGTGATACGGTTCTGCCAGGGGGCCATCCTTTTTGAGTCATATATTATCTTCAAATTAAATATCAAGAGATCCTAGTTACATCCCACGGCTGTCACTTGCCATCTGAGTGAAAAAAAAGTAAAACAGCATGATTTGTGACAGCGTGGTAAGTTTCATGTCTACAGTTATCTTGCCTTTCTTCTTTGCTGAGAGGTAGCCATTTTTCGTGTCCCTTGTGCCTCTCCATCTCTGTCAACCCAGACATCGACTCTTCCCGGAGGGCTCCCTTGTCCTCCTTCCCCATAGCTCCTGACACCCCATGTGTCCTTCTGGCTTCTCCTGGTGCTGGATCATGGACCGTGTGGGCATCACAGCTGTTTGTGGCCAGGGCCGCGAGTCTCCTTTGTGGCTCTGACTCTGTGTGGGTGCCCCTTTGACAAAGGCTGTTTGCCAACACGTGCTCTGCAGGTTAGAAGGACATCTCTGATGAAGGTTCGCCTTGCCCTGTGATTTTGGTCAGGATTACTCCAGGAAAATGAGAGTGCAGATATGTTCCTCATCAGTTCCATTTCCTGGTGGTGACACCCGGGAGTGCTCAGGAGTTACAGAGTCAGTCTCTCAGAGCCTGAGGGATTTGGGTGGGAAGCAGGGCCTGGAGAGCCCCCTGCCCTGAGGCCCCAGGATGGTACTAACACAAGGAGAGAGGCTGGAGTCTAGCAAGGTTGGAGCCACCTGCGGTGGGGGCGCAGTATATCTCTGACCTGGCAGGTCTGCTCTGGGGGTCAGTGGGAGCATGGGCACGCCTTGTGGTTAGGGGCAGCAGTGTCCAGTGCATTTCAAACATGGGCAAGAAGGATCAGGAAAGATTGGTAGAGAATCAGAAGCCTTAAAAAAAAAAAAAAAAAAAAAAAGAAGAAGCAGCTTTAGAAAGAGCCACTTGGGAAGAGGAGTTTCAGGAGCTGGTCGAGGTGAGCAGCGCGCACCCCTCCAGGTGTGTCATGTGCTCACGGCTTTCTCTCAGCCCTCCAGCCCCTTGTGGTCTGTGCCCTTTGCCAGTCGACCGGCTGTGACAACAAATTCCTGCTCCGAGGTTATATCTGTCTTTACTGTTCATTTTACCTTCCAGGTATGTGTTGTAATATCCCAGTATTCAGCATCACTGGTTAGAAGAGGGAAAAGGAGGTGAAGGGATTTCCCAGAACACTGAATTGTTAACTGCAACCAAGTCTTTTCTAAAAATTATTTTGAACCACTTTGGCTGGTTTCTAAAAGTTGTGTGCTATCTTGCCTCCTGAATGAAATCTTCACATGAGAACATAGGTTCTGGCTTCATAAAGCAAGTCTCATGCATTCAAACACAATGCAGTTAGTGTCCCTTCCCTCTCTGCTTATGGCAATTTGCATCTTCTTTTAGTGATTATTCTTCATTCTTCATCTAAACTGTTGTTCTGGGGGAAGCCATATGGCCAAATTTGTTGGAGTTGAATTTAAAGTGCAGTCACTTGATCTGGTTGTGGGTTCCGGGTGAGGGCAGCTCCTTAGAGGTAGGCACATGGACCTGGGCCTGACCTTCAGGTGCTCAGATGTGCACGTGCCTTTGTTCCAGATGGCTCTTGTTGAAAGTCCAACTCTGGAAAATTGGCACTTTATTAAACCGACTGTAACTGTGC